CTTTCATTGATGAGCCCATTTTATAAGAGAAAGACAAATGTAAAGGTGACAGCGAGCTTCAAGTAATCGCTCACGCTCATCTTGTACTGTACCTCAGACGAGACGCGGTTACGCAGTCAGCTAACTGAAGAGCTCTCACTTTGATCTGTTTAACATAAACCCACACTCAGTTTACACTACTTCCACATGTTGATTTATAGCAATGTCACGACGGAACATCCTTTCTATTTATAGTCGATTCTGCATCGAATCAGTTGGGTATTTATAAGATCTACAAGTTGTCTAGTGTGTTTTATTATCGACGTCCGCGATCGACCATAGAAGTAAAGAGTAGGAAACATGCTCAAGCTAGGAATAAACATGGGCATTCTGTGTCTGGTTGTTGTAAATTGTAATGTAATCCGTTTCGTAACTATAAATATAATATGGACGGATAAATTTCTTGAATATGAATGACTAAGACATTATTAATAAAGTATATTATTACAATAGTAGTCTAATACAATTCTAATGTCCTACATTTTTTGTTATTATATATATTATATAAATATTATTGTTTTAGCTATTATTAAACGTTGGTAATAAATTCAAGGCTGTCTTCTGCAGTTAAAAAGGATAATGCATTTTCCGTGTTTACTAAAGCTTGTAAATAAGACAATTCTTTCTCAAAAGAAAATCAATAAATTGTCTAGTCGAATCCTTAAGAAATTGATGCTCCTGCATAAAACTTGACATAGAAATATCAAGATGCTTGAATTATTTTTCAATGCACAAGTCACAACAGAGTGGGGACAGCCAATTCTCTTATAAGTTTAGAATGAGGTTTGAACTATATTACAAAGAGTCGCTAATACGGAATATATTCGGTCGAATGGACAAGTTTGGCGGACGGTGAGGCACTTGCTTCTAACTTCGCTACGTGCTCAGAAACCAGATGTTTTTAGCAGATATTATGAGATCTGGTGTGTCGAGGTAAATTCAGATCGATAATAATATAATCACGATATAATTTTATACATTTTCAAAATAATTTTTTTGTGTCTTGGTGTTTTTTATTGTGGTTGTGGCGCCTCTCCTCATTTTCATAAAAGAAGGCCGCACTAATCTCTATGCGGGAACGTATCTCTGTCTTCAATTCCCAGTTTTCGGTTACGTGACCTGGTATCCCCACTAGCGATAACCATTATTGATTGACAAGCTTATTTATATTATAAAAACAGACCCTGCGTGATTTACTTGCTAATTTAGAAACTATATCCTGAATACCATTTACAAGAGCTCCAGTCTAACTGATACGTCTGAGAGCTTATTTTTCTCAGATCTATTCATATGTGGATGTTCGAACCTAAGGTTCATTCTGTGCGTTTAAACCACGGATGTATTTGCGGTCCGTATTCACTATAAAATTGCGATTGAAAACCCCTTAATAAAAAGTGGACTTGGCCATCCGGATTATAAAAAACAATGAAACAAAAACAAAAGAAATCAGTCAAGAAGTTAAAAAAAGTAACGAATCTTGTTTTGTTTCAAAAATTTATAAACGCAAACATAAAAATATCCTAGCCGCAACGCATTGTGAATTATAGACTTCGTGGGAGGCTGATTTGGTAACTAATAATAAATAGTAATGCTATAATAATTTCCTATACCTACTATATATTCGATGCAATATCAATTGAGACTGGTTGACGAGCTATAGGGGGCATACGCGCCTTTGCCCCCGCTGAGGTTCCTAATAACATTTTTATAAGCCTACAGATCTGTCGCCCTACCGACGAGTGTGTTTTTGAAATCGCATATTTAAGTATCATGCGATTTCAAATTTGAGTACATATAGATGGAGTGGATCTGGTAGAACAAAAAATTCAAGGTTCTAGATTAACGATGCGATGGAACTAAGTTAGTTATTTTTAACATAACTCTTTTTAAACCTTAAAAAAAAACTCCTTCGATAATTTATTTATAATATATAACAATATCAACATAGTGTATGTGTTTAATAGATTTCTTATTATCAACGATGATCATGCGCTGTACCACCAAACCCCTTCAGCATTTTACTATAATAGAAACAGCATTCGGACGTAACCAATCGATACAGTTTCAGTAATTAAAATTAATCGAATGAAACTTGAGCGCTCTGTAGATTGAATAATTACGCCCGATACAATTTGCCATTGGCACAGTGCGGTCGTGTTGAGAACAATTTGCTCCTTGTTGACGTTTACTCACTGAACGATACTGTGCCAAGTTTATTGACCTTTCTGGGAATAAATTACACGGTATTTTCATTCAATAATTACATTGTCTTGATAAATGTTTCATTGATAGATAGCGTTATACAGTGAAAATTATATTGCTAAATGATAAAATATTTTACGAAACAGCTTCTTTACAGTATGCTACATGTAAATAAATGAAAAAATATAAATAATCTGTGCCCCTAGGATAAGATAAAGAAAAAAAAACGAAATGAATTTTGAAATTCAGGCATAATTTTCGGCGATACTCCACTGCAGAAGCTTGCTCTGAGTAGATTTATAAAATGTGGTAAAGATTCATAGCTGTTAATAGGGAATACAATAATGAATTATTTAAACTATATAGACATCTTCTACCACACTACTCGTGAATCATCTCATAAATAATTCCATTCCAAATTATAAGGTATATTAGTAATATACCATTTTACGAAGCCAATAAATTTTTAATAGGCATGTCAGGAAGGCATAGGATTTAGGCTTTCGCCCACTTTAGATACAGAAGTGATCACTAATGACCTCCGGTAATCCAATCCACGAACCCCAGAGTAACGATCTTTCATCTGTTATCAGGAGATAAAGGCTTCTTAAAATATTACACCTAAATTTATATTTCACAAATTGATGTCGTACTCAAAATCGACTGTATTTGGAGATTAATAATTAGGAATCTAAATACCGGTACAAGGCAGCTCGAATAATAAGCTAATTTAAAGGATCATAATATGATTGTGAAAGAAAAATTGAAGCTTCTGATTGGAGATATGCTGAAATTTAAATATTCACTACTTGGTAAGTATATTGTATAATAACACTTATTTCGAAGTCACAAAAATTCTTCGTGTCCACTATTTCGACTTGGTATAAAATATTTAAGATAGAGTAAGTTTAGTAACATTTTAGTGCTAAGGAATATTCAAGAAATTCCCATAAAACTAAAAGGTACATACGCAAGCTTCAAGGATGTGACGAAAAACAAAATTTTGAGAAAGTTATACAAACTTTTTCATTGTGACTCATATCCCTTTCCCTTAATAGGATAGTGGGTAGTAAAATATAACGACTGCCCATGGGAGTTGAGCCTCGACGTCAGTGGCCTACGTATTAATAACTTACGTAGCCTTGGAGGCTCACAGGATGGAGGACAATTTCGAGGTTAGTAATTAATCTTGTCATGTCAAAGACTTCTTATGTTTAAGTTTCAAGAAGTCCAACGCATTTATTTTCATTTAAAAATAGTGTTGTAGTTTTAAGAATATTTTATTTTCAATACGAAATGTGACACAACAATTTTAATACATATATTATTTTATGAAAAATACTAAATACCACTTTCAAAAAATTCTGTAAACCTTTATTAAGACTAAGCTTAATTATTATGGACTAAAAATAAAAAAATTCTCTGTAGCTCCAACAGATTATATAAAGCGCGATATTTTAATACGTCACCAGTAGTGGGAGAGTGCAGTCGTAATTACACACTCTGCGCAATTACAGGGACCACTAGCGACTACGGATAACGCACTTTTATATACAAAGCATTTATTTGCATAGAAACAGGAAAGATATTTTGTAATCAGACCCTAGTCAGCTCTTAGCTAGGTTAAAAGGCCTTCGTGAATCTGTTTTTATCTCTCGATGTTTTGCCTTTAGGCCCTTAGGGCTTTTTTTGATAAATTACGGTGCGGCGATTTCATCTAAGCATAGTTGTATAACGACACTACGACATTTTAATGAAACATCTATTTAACGTCGCTTAAATATACATTTACTCGTTGAACCGCGATAAGATTAAAAGGAGAAAAATCTGCCGTTTGAATGTTCCTTAAGGACCTATATCATCGACAAACTCCAAAAAAGTACATTGGTTTCTTTCCATTTTTCGTTATCATTTCTTGAAGTAGGGTGAATGGAAAAAATATATGGTGGAGTTGAGTAGTTTATGTATCCATTTTGAAAGATCGATACACGATTTAAATAACTTCGCTCGATAGAAAAAAATCCAAACATAGCCAATTTTTGACACTTTGAATTCATTTTATGACGAAAATGTATAAAGAACATGATTTTGAAATTTACACGATATATTTTATCGAAAGCCAAGTAATCCATTTCAGATTTTTTTAAAATAAAATTACATTAATTTAATGTTTTACATAACTATTTGTTATTACGGGCCGGCGCGCCTCAGTGCTCCAGCTCTCCACTGCGCCCCGCAGTCCACCCCGAGACACTGACACAGCAATTCGTACTGAGATAGGGTCTTAACATTTTTTTTAGGATATACAATTCGTAACGCCTCGAGAAGTGCCATTTGCTCATTGTCCTGACGTAAGAAACTCAAAACTATCAAACCTATTTAAATGTAAATAGAAAGAGAGATTTGTTAAGTAGGTTTAGATTTACTTAGTGTATGCTTTCGCTTCAGAGGCGTGCAAAGCCGGTGCGGGATGTTAGTCAACACGATTGCGAATGATAAATATTAGTATTTCTTTGGCTATGTAATTTTAAAAAAGGTTTCCAAAGTAAATTTAGTCAGAGATATAATATTTAATGGCATTCCTTGCACGAGATCTGTACTTGGGGGTTCCTACTAAAAAGCTGTATTAAAGAATATGTGTAATACGTATTTTAGTTTTCTTGTATAAATCATAATAGTTTATCATTTGTAGTTCATTTTAGTAGGGTTGAAGGCTTTTTATATTTTATGTATTTATATTATATCCAGTTGCTTTGTGATTGCCAATCTTTCAATTTAAAATCTATTTAATTCAATTTTATTTATCCTTATCAGACGAAACAAGTATTTATCGAAATAAAAATAAACTTATAAAAGTGATACTATTTGTTCGTGAGTAGGAACTAAATCTTTGCGATTCCGGGACCAACTATTATTGTTTTAATACAATATCGCAGACAGCTCACGTCGTCTTATTAAAAGAAAATAGACAAGCACAGATCTTGAAGAATTTTTCGAGTTTATGATGAAATACTTCTTTGTTATATGATTGTTGTATTTCAAAGATTAATTAGTTCGGTAAGGTAAGATAACTAAAAATAATTTAATATCATCTTGAAATCACATTACCTCTGCTTAAAGAAGTACAAAGTATTTATTCTTGAGTTAAGATCATAATTTACATAAAAATAATATTTAATGAAATTATTAAAAGGTGTGATAGTAATTACACGATTAAAAAAATCATATTCTTACTGAATGTTATACAAATAACTTACCAAGTTAATTAATGGGCATTATTTTATAGTTACCTGCAGCAGGGCAGTGTGTAGCCGACAGGTACAAATTGCACCATTCTTGCGCGAGCACGGTGCGCCGAGCAGTGCGCACGCGCCGCCGCGCAACATCGCAAGTGATCATCCCTTAACGTCACTTCGCGTTATCGCATATCAACTTCGATTTTTCGATCGCATGTTCATTTTAACTGTTCTTTTAGGAGATTAACAATAGGCAGTGAAATTATTGTATTGTGAAACATAATAGACTTCGTCTTAATATAACAGTTAGTTAACTAACGAATCGGCATCACAAAACTAGAACATCCTATTAAAGTAAAATATTGAAATTAATATTACCGAAAAACAAAAGCAAGTCAATTTTGAAGCCATAATACAGTTTTCTGTCAAAATTCCTCTCACTCCTGTTACATGAACTTTATCCCGCCTGCCATGTTTTTGTCAGAGTAATGGTATTGTTTAAACCAGACTGACACACCTTAATTCATAAAATTGAACATTATATGTATTTTTTGATAATTATTCTACAGTACCTACTACAGTAATCTTTTGTATATTCTTTTGTCCTATTTCTTTAATTTTATTCACAAAAACATTATTCTAAGATAGCGTATTTATAATATTCTTGCTTACAATTTAGTTTAATGAGATGCAAATGAAACAAATAAACCTTAGTAATCTTTTCATTGCGCAATGATTAGATACATTTTCTTTACAATGAACATATTTATACACCAACAATGGGTTCACCGTTTCCATTCATGTGGTCAACACATGCTCGGAGTTAATTAAGTGTAAAATGGTGTATTAAAACAAAAGCATGGCGACAAAAGAGTAGATTGAAATTGCTGTTGTTGTAGTTCAGGACTTCATTATTCAACGTCCGACACCGCAGACTTGATCCAAAAAGTTTACTTCTTTTTCCAGACATTTGACGAGTCTGAATGAAAACGGGAATTCGGGGTACTGTCTCCTGCTTATGCATTTATAACGAATGGGGACGAGAGATTTCAGGTACCTTTATTAAGTATTTTTTACATTTACAGCATTGAAACAAAAAAGGGACATGTTAATAGTAAGAGCTACATCTCCGCCTAGAAGTACGATGCGATAAGGATCGTTTCAAAATCCCACTGAAAGAGATATGACACGAAGCAGATATATCCCTAGAGATATACCCTCTGTTTCCAACCCACTCAGATTTAAACACACGATAATAAATCCAAGGCTGCAAGTAAAATATTGACGATCAATGAATGAACGAAACCTAATAACCCATTTAATGCTTGGGTCTTACGAAGTTTTAAAAAGGGATTTTTAATAAGAACATTCCGGCGAAACCTTATTAAATAGTTAAGATGTTAGGAGATGTTTGTCTGAGACATGTACACATAGATAGTTATTATGAATCAAGTTGAATCTAGAAAAACTGCATTCACGCGGTCATGTTAAGAATCTAAATATCGAGTTTGGAACTCTGAAAATTAATTATTAACAGGACCAACAAATCTCATCTAAAACTGAATCGCTTCAAGAAGTTTAGAAAAAATTAAATGCAAATAATGTATTGCTTCTATACGTTGCTACGCTTTTTGAGGCCTATATTAAATTTATGAATATGATAATGTATGCCAAGCTGTAGCGAACACGCGACAAAACACAAAAAAGAAAAGCAATGCACAAAATAGAATATGACTCTCCTCATCGCTTTTAAACTGAATATGTATAAAAGGAATTGTAAATAATGTATCTGTGCTAAATTTTCAGCGTGCTTTTTGTTTTAAGTCGGTGAATACATTCGAAATGGTCAATGGTTGTTAAACGCAGCGCAGCGGGTTCAAACGTCGCTCGAGGACTTTATATAAACAATGCTAAGAAAAACGTTTAAAAGCTGCAGTGCGAGTGGCTTTATGCCTTCATCTTTTTCCTTCTTTTTTTTTCAATTAAAGTCCGAGAGAAATCGACTGTCGACTGCAAGACCGCAACGTTTGGCTCCATTGACGTGACTTCGGCATTCAGATAGCTGCGTCGTAGGGTTTTTGTTAAATTATAATATTTTAAATATTAATAAACAAATTGATCAAATAAGTCAGCCAATTTCCATCATACAAAAAAAGTAAAGAGTTAGTAGCTCATTGTTAGTAGACTAGATACGATAAAAGAAACCGCAACAACGCGCCACGTTCTGTATAGTTTGTAATAGATACGGGGCACTTTTATAGGCTTCAAATTCGTGTATTTATTACATCACATGGTGTAATCAGACTTAGTTGCGCGCTAACAGCCCTAACTGAACAGTTTTCACACGCAATTAGTTCGCAGCGGGTCAAGTGTTGCTTGCACCGATATTTATTGGGCTTCATAATATGAACTGATGTACTCCATTTTTCACGCAGATATTTATTTTTGAAATTTACGTACTGAAAGTACAAGTGAAGTTTAATCATAAAATACTTGTTAAATATATAAAAATTATTAAATTATTGTAAATACAAAAGGAATATTATTTATTTAAATCTATATTATTATTGTTTGCAAAGTATACGTGTGTGTGTATGTGTGTATAATACAATAATTATACTTTACGAAATGGCACATAGAAACAGTCAATTGATTTTTTAATATTATACATATTTGTTGACGAGAGCAGTAAAGCGATACTAAAAACTTAATATGACATTGTAGGACGATATATCTTATTTATTTCTTAATCATCTAATAAAAGATATAATCACTATATTTCATGCACGTTTCAATCAAAAATACAGACAAACAAAGAACAAACGAGACAGTTTGAACTATCCGTTAGTTTTACACTGATGCGGTTAAGTTAACAACTTAGGTTATTTTAAGTTTTTAGGTTAGTAAATTGCTCACTTTCCTTTGCCTGCACACCATGTCGCGGTCGTTAACATCGTTGGATAGACTATTGGAAATAATGATTTATTTAAATATCATATTTTTATACAAAAATGGACTTTTTTTAGATTTTAAGATATGGCCTGTGTGTGTTTATTAAAAAGTCTTAAGTCTTATTACAATATTTTTTTTTAAATCACATATTTTAAGGAAAAAATCTCTTTTTCTTAATTATATTCGGAGAACTTGCGACTGTAAAATTCTCGAAATATCTAATATGCAAAGTCTCCGCCTTGAAAACTTAAAGCCACTGAACCGTGGCTAATTAAGCAAATACCGCATCAACAGCGTGGTAATACAGCTTATTTTGCTTCACGTTATAATCAATTATGTATTCCTTTCACATAATATATTGTTTATATACAGATCCTTATGATTTACAAGAATATGTTATAAAGTAACGTATAAAATAAATCATAAAATATTTCTATGCTCTCCAACAAATATACAATTCGACTTTAATAGCAAATAACACTAACGATATTAAATTTTTACTTTACTACGCAAAACGTATGGAATTAATTCTGAAGGCAATTCTCAAACCCCTCTAATTAAAGCGCAGACCGTTTCCATTAAATACTTGTGAAGGAAATCCCGAAAAAGTTGAAGACACAGGGGCATCAGGTATCCATGCTTTCAAATTAATTACCTTGCCAACTTTAATAAATAAACTTTACTCATTTCTCTCAAACTTTATATGAAAGTTTAACAGGGAACTTTAAATATTTCTCACAATACAGGATAAAATGGAATTTAGAAGTAAATTTTAATATGAAAAAAATCACGTACAAATTATATCATTCAATGCAATTTCTCTTTTAAAAAACTCATAGCATGTAACAGAAGTATCGTTTTAAAATGACGACATGTAAGCGTTATTGTACGAGATACACAAGTGATAATTGCACTAATGGCCTTTTGAGAAGCCTCTTCAACTATGCCGCTATTTAACGCATATTGTCAAAAGGTATGTCTTCTGTTGAAGAATGCTCTTTAAGCGAAAATAGCTACTAAAAGCCCCCAGATATATGTGAAGGTGAATTGAATTCTAACCTCGACCTGTGAGATCTAGCTTTGTTTAAATAAAATCGGAATAGGGTTCGTTTACAGAACTCGGACTCTAACGTTTCTGTTGACACCGCGGGCTAGACCTCAACCTGACAGTAGCCTTGGACAGATGATGTATTTCCATCACTCTTGCAAGGTTGTTTTGTATTGACCAATATTAGAACCAATATTTTCTTTGGATTTAGATGAGCGTGCTGTATGAGGTTCATTCAAAGACATATTTCCCTAGCGACTTTGCATATTTTAAATGCTTTCACATTTAAAATATGCATAATTAGAAAGCAACAAGTGCTTCAATTTTTTTGTGGATAGATAGAACCAAAAGAAAAGTTAGAGGTATCCAGTAAACAAGTTGTTCTTTGACCTGTTTAGAGTTTAGTCGATAGCAAAGAGCAGCTGCGCGTTCCTTTGCCGAGTTTCATCAATAAATAGGTATAGACATCGTTTATTACTACCGAACAGCTGAATTTTTCATGAACAAAAGTTTGGCTTCTGTCAATAAGGTTTAGATTTCGGACTAGTTTAAATTAAAATACATATATTTACTCACAGGTTGCCCTTTAGGGTCTTAATAAAATTTAACAGTTCTGGTATATATGCAAGTTGAATGAGCTAAAAGCTAATGTGATTGGACTGCCATCTAGATTTACATATTACGCAGAAACGATTGCTTTTTAGCGCACTTTAAAGTTTATATAATTATTCCAAAGTACACACGAAGAATACAAAACGTTACTTGTTTGTGGAATAATTGAGGCGGACAAGACTCGGTAATGGAAGTGATAATTGCGAATATGGTAATACCACGCTTTGTTGCGTTCCCAGCGTACCACAAAGCGATCCAAATATGCAATTGAAATTAAGCTGGATTGTGTTCGGTTCTAACGATTCGATTCCTAGGATTTTGGCGCCTGTGTCACAATTTTCCATGGAAATCGACAAACTTCCGGTGTACGTTTTTTCACAGCAAAACGAATGCGGGAGTCGAAGTGATTTTATGCATAGATTTTACTGCTTATAAACGTGTGATTCAGATATTTGGCTGAAAGAACCGTTTTACCTTTAATCAGTTGTTTATAACCTACTCAATATTTACTAGTCTGTGGCCTATAAAAGTTTAATTT